AATCAACCCGGGGCCTCTGAGGAACCCCAAGCTAGCCTCACCACTGCCCCACCCCACCCCACTCTCTGTTCTCTATTAATTTTTTTTTAATCTGTTCAATCGTGTCCGATTCTTGGAGACTGCCTAGACAAGTCCCTGCAGTTTTCTTGGCAAGGTTTTTCAGAAGTGGTTTGCCATTGCCTCCTTCCTATTATTCTCTATCATTATTTTTATTCTCTATTTTTCTCTATTAATTACTGCTATCTAATTTGGCTGTTAATCTGTTTGCAATGGTGCTGGATCGCCCAAGGAAGCAATTGTAGTTGGTGAACTAACAAGACAACTGGTCCTGAGTTTGGCCCTTTCCCTGAAAAATGGGACTCCTTTGCAGTTCTTCTCCTCCATGTTAAACCACTGACCCATTTCTAGCTCACGAGCAACTACTTCAGACAAGAGATCACCAAGGCTGAGCTTCCATGTTCAAAGAGGGCACTTTCCCTCAACAAGACGATCCCACCCTAGCAATCAAGGAAGATTTCTGTCCTCCACAGTTGAGAGTTGAATACATGAGCAGCTCCTTCATACTATGTCAGCTTCCTGATCTGCCCAGCTCAGTGGCTCTCCAGGGTTTCAACTGGTATGTTTTCTCCAGCCACACCCAAAGTCTTCAGATGTTCAACCACAGAATGACGATCCTCTGCATGGGGCTTCCCTGTGGCCAACAAAGGTCCAACTGATGCATCAGACAGGTGTGAGAACAGGGAGAGCAAGTCTGTGTAAAACTCCCCAATTCTTGCTTCTTTCACAAAAATTGAGGCACTTGACATACCTTCCTGTCTGGAAGTGACAAGACCAAAGGAAAACAGGTTCTATGAGTTGGGCCACTTAGCCTGGGGCATTTGTATGCCATCTGGCAGAAGTTCTCTAGGGAAGCAGCAGATTGATGTCTCTTCTTGACCCTTTGCCTCCAGACCTGTTCTGCATAGTAGGTGATGTCCTTTTCCTTAGCAACAGATGCTGGTTACTAGCCATGCAGACAGGTGTGAGGTGAAGGGGAATGTTCTTTGTCTTTCCATGGAAGAAAGCAGCAGCTTTCCTGTTCAAATGTGAGCAGACCCTGGACTTAGGGTGAAGCTTCTCCCCCTTGCAGGGCTCCCCCCAAGATGGCAAGACTCACAAATGCAGCCACTTCCCTTTCAAGCTGGAGACCCCTTACAACCCTCATGCAGAGTCTATCTGAGGACTGACTGATTGAAACAGGGCATTATTAGATCAGTTGTGTCCCTCGGAACAGCCAAGGAAGTCTGTGTTTTGAATCTCAGGCCCCAAATGAGTGGGTGGTCTTAAGCCAATCTATATTCTGTTAGCAAAACCTCTCTCTTTGCAAAAATAATAATGTTTATCTACCTTACCAGGCTGCTATAATGATGACTAACATCGTATTTTATTTTCAATAAAGAAAATGATGCTTTGAGTATTACTACACATTTTCTTGGCTAGCTTCATGGCAGTGAAATGGCTCCCTTCCCTTCCCTTCCCTTCCCTTCCCTTCCCTTCCCTTCCCTTATCTATTTATCAGCTTCTGTTCCCTTTTCTGCACTCCATTTTCATGTCACTATGCAACCTGATTGAGCAAATCAGCAAAGGATCAGCCCAAGCTCTCCAAACTCCCTTCCTTCCCTGAAATTCAATCAAACGTTTGCAAGCTCCCCCTGGTTCCCCCCCCCAACATACATCCCACCATCCTTGTCCCACCCCAAGTCCATGAAATTACCTTGCATCCCCAAGAGCAGCAAAGCAATCGAAAAAGGTTAAGCTGCAAGAGGCCGCTCCTGACCCTACGTGGCCTTTGAAAGGAGCAGGGGATGCAGATTAAAAAATCCATTTTGTCCAAGGCCCTCTTTCAACTTCGCCCTTGGAAAGTTTAATGGTGCTTATTGGCCTTATGGAGTTCAGCTTTGCCATCAGAAAGGACAGCTGCTCCGAGCTGGCAGTTTGTGAAAAGCAGGACCGAGCAAAATCCCCCAAGAGCAACATTTTCCCCTGGACACGGGCGTGCTGGTAATTTCTTTGAACTCCATACCTATCAATTTGACCTCTGCAGCACAAACAAGACCAACCTTACATATTAAGCTCTGTCTCTGCCCCCCTCCCTCTCCCCCCTTCTAGCAAGGATTCTATATTCTGCTAACACGGAAAACAAAGCAACCAAGCTTTAATGGCACTGACCTGACATACCTTTAAATTAAAGAACTGCTTTGCTCGGAAAAGGAGGAAAGGAACCTGAATGTCTGAATGTACTGTGTAATTAAAGGAAGTCCTAGTTGCTTGCTTCAAAGCCATTTTCTTTTCTTTTTCATTGTGTCTCTAAAGCAATTGCCCTGAAGTTTTCCTCAGATTGTTTAGAATGCTAAGCTAGGCAGGGTTGGACCTGTTTAGACTTTGGATGGGAGGTCATGAGAAAACCCAAAAATTGGAAAAAGAAAACACTTCCTAGAGGCAAACCACAGCAAGCCCTTCTCCCACTGTTGCCGAGAGAATAACATGGCTGTGCCCAGGAATGTGCCAAAAGCAAAATTAATTGAACCAAAAGTAAAGGAAAATGTTACTTTTATCACATATTCCCTTCCTGCGTCCTACACTCATTCTCACTAAGAGATTGGAGCAGGGAAAGTGACTGGTGTTGGAAGAACTTTAACTGTGGTATAGCTGAAGCCCACCCCCATTCTCCAAGGGATCAACCTGAGGACTCCCAAATGGACCCCATGAACCCAAACTGATTAATCAGTAGATCTGTTATTTCTTTTCAAAAAGGGGGGAACAACCGTTGCAGCCTTTTACAGTAGTTCCAACAGCTCTACCTGCATTCTGAAAAAGAAGTCACTCCAAAGTTGGAGCAGACTTGTTACCTCTTAATCCAGAGGACAAGGCAATGGTCAAGAAGCAGAAAAGAGTCTGTAAAAGGGTGTGATTAAGCATTAGGAGAATCTTCCTACCAGGAAGTGCCTGTCTGGTTGTAGAACGACTGTCTCAGGAGCAGGAACAGGGTTAGGTGATTTAAGATTGGAAATTATAGCTTCATTCCTCAAGGTAATAAGTAGGAAGGGTTTGGGGTCTCCAGCCAGCACTGAAGAATTTGGAAGCCCTGGATCTCTGTCCCAAAGTCCTGCTTAAGTGGTACCACCCAGAGGTATCTGCAGCATTGGAAACTTTGGTCAAAATGAAGAACACAACATGACATTGTTGTGGTGCAACCTCCACCCATTTGGTACATAGGACATCACAATGTACATTATGTCACAATAGCACAACCATGCTTTTGTCATTTGACACACGCACACACGCACCACTCTCCTCACTCCTTTTTGATGGAGGTACTGAAGTCAAGGCTGATCAGTTCTTTCTGCATTGTGTGATTCAAACTTGGAGGTAGCAGAATATAGATGACCTCTATGGTAAAACTCACATGATTGTAGGAAGACTGATCAAATTCTCTCTCCATCATATACCCTCTTTTCCAGCTTATGACTGATTATAAACAGAAACAGAGAGAGCCCTCAACCCCATGATCTCTTTCTGCCTTCTGCTCTGCTGGCTTTGAAGAAGAGTTCTGAACAAGAAAGTCTGAAATATTCTCATTGAGAAGAAAATGGTCATTCCCTAATTGGAATGGAGAAAACATCCTTCGTTTGCTGAAATTTATCTTTTTAGAAATTTACTAGTGGACCATAGGGGATCTGAAATCTTATTCAAGCAATCTGCAGAAGAGAGCCACTTTGGTGTAGTGGTAAAGATGCTGGACTGGGAACAGGGAAAGCTGAGTTATAGTCTTCCCCTTGGCAGCTGGGTGACTTTAACCCTCCCCTCCTCTCAACCCTGGAAGAAGGTACTTGCAAGCCACTTCTGAAAATGTTGCCAAGAAAACCACATGGACCTGTCCATGTAGTCACCAGGTATCAAGATGGACTTGAAGGACCACAACAACAATCTTCACAGGGGACCAAAGCAATCAAAATGGCTATCCCAGCTTTTTCCAACCTGTAGGGTGAATTGGACTTCAACTCCCAGTATTCTCAGCCTGTGTAGTCAAAGCAATACCCAAAGGCATTATGGGAGGATACTGAAACACACTTTTCATTATTCTGCATTGGTCTGAGAAAGATATTTATCATTGCAGGATCATGCTGAATCCCTGCTGAAGTGAAAGCACTCAACTTTTACATCCCATGACTCAAAACTTTGCTCCTAAACTTGGTTCATCTGTGGTATCAGAAGGATTAAAATGTGAGTGATGGGTGAGCTTTGAATCGCAGAAGAGGTTGAGTCCAGCAAGCTTTGAAATGATTGGTATATCACTGGGGAAATGGAATGTTAACATGCAACCAGGTTAAGGGTCTGTCAGCTGTAACATGGTTATCCCTAAGATGAAGTTTCAGGTCCAGTGCAGGAAATATCCCCATGTGTGAATGGATGAGGTCCCAGAACCAGGATGATACACCAGTAAAGAATATCAGATTACAACTGAGGAGGTCCAAGCTCCAAGCTTTTCCCACGTACAAAAAACTCTGTTCCTCCCTCTCAATGCTAACCTACACAATGGATGATTGCAGATTAAACATGGTGGATGAGAAGAACAGGCGGGTCATCTTGAGCTCATCTAAGGTTTGTACAGGAAGAGCAAATTCTTGACAGCCAAAAACACCACAGGACTCTCCACTTTTGAAAAGACCAACCCGTTTCCCCTCCCTCCTAGATTGCATCTGTACCTTCAATAGGCAGGAGGATGACCCGAGAATGATCATAGGCGATCACGTTGGCATAGCGGTTTTTGGGCTTATTCACCTCGAGGTTGGAGTGTTCCCAGGTAAACTGTTGCCCAGGATCAATGGACTAGAGGAGATGGAAAAAGAAAATCTAGTAAGACACAATGACATTCCTTTTCTGCTTCAAATCCAGTTAAGCTAAAGCCTCTTTCTTTAGTCAGGTGCCCTCTAGAAGTGCTAGAACTAAAATGTCCCAAATCCCCAGCCAGCATGGTTTTTGGAACTGTAGAAGTTGTGGTCCCAACACATCTACAAGGTACGGGGTCAAGGAAGCAAGAGTAGAAGAGAAAGTACCTCTTCTACCATTCTCCAAATAATTACTATGACTATAAACCAGTAAATGTTTACTGTATAAATACTGTAAATCTATTACAGTAGTCAGTGTAAACAAAAAATGTGACAAAATATTTTGAGTGTTGTGGACTGAATTTTTTTCATTCAAAAGATGTCCTCATCATTTAGGAGACTCTGTACAGGTGACTCTGCCAGGACGGTGACCATTTCATTCAAACTTGTACCCAAAAGTGGACAACTGATTGGTCCATCCAGACCTCTTCTGTAGTCACCTGAATCCTTAGGTTAAACTAGCTACCACTCAGTGGGCTTCCAAGAAAACAAAATGATCAGGCAAACTCATTGGAGGAGAAAGGCCCATTAGGAGTCAGAAGCTCAGACAACTAAGTCAGAGGCTATATGTTTCCAGTGATAAGATCCTAGTAGAAATCACTGAGCACCCTGGGGTCACAGGACCACCCCAACTGGAAATAGAATATAGAAATAAAGGAAACAATGTGCCCCAGAAGAAGGTGGTTTTTTTTTAAAGATTTATTTTAGCAAAAGCTGAATGGAGATGTGGTCAGGGTGCTTGAATTGTAGTTTTCATGAAGTCTCAGGAGATCAGATTGGATGACACTTGAGGTCCCCCTCAACTCTAGAATTCTAAGCTGGCTGTGCCAGTTCTGTGCTTCGAGCAAGTCATCAAAATTCTGCACTGAGAAAACAAAACAAAACGATAGAGGCTTGACTAGAGGTGGCAAAAGGCAATCAAACCAACGGAGGAATGATTTTTCAACTTATTCCCTTTGCCTCTTTGCTTTGCATAAGCATGATCAACATGCTTTGAAGCTTGTCTCCACCCCATGAGAGCTAGAAGCTATTAAAGGAAGGGGAAAAAAAGCCCTAAATTCCATGCTTTCATTGCATTATCCTAAAATGCACAAAGCTAGACACACAAATATTATCTTAAAAAAAAAAAGCGTGCATCAAGACTGCAACTTTGCATTGTCTGTGCTTGCCATTTCCCCCCAAAGGGACCGAATCTAACGTGGACGGCAGCCAAGTGGATAATTTTCCCTTTTGATCTGAAAGGGGCCATTCGGTGGGTAAACAATGTCAGGGAAGAGAGGGAGGAGAGGAAAACGACTATGTCATGGGGATGCAGTAAGGGGACTTTGCCAATCGACAGCTCCCCAATTAGATTCTGGACATTGTCCAAGGCCTTATGCCAGCAGCTCCCCTCTGTTTGAATGGAACAAGGCAGACGTGGTCCTACTCTCTATAAGACTAAAAATCCACTCCCTTTGCACTCACCCTCTTGTGTCCCACCAGCTACACTCAGGGGGGCACCTGAGAAGCTTCGCCACAAAGTCTTGTGGGGTGCTAAAACTATCACACCCCCACAGTGCAAAGACTTTGCTCATGGACTGTTGCCCTGCTCCAGGCCCGCCTCTCTCTCAAACCCTGCACCTTGTTAATTTCATTAAGTTTTTCTCCTCCTTCTCTCTCTTTTTTAAAATCCAGATCTGCAGTTCAGGAGGCGGCTGTCCTGGAAGGAAGCCAAAAAGCACTTTTGGATATTACATTATGCAGATTAGGCACCGGGGGGAACGGCAATAAGCCTTGGCAGAGAGAATACCTTAGCTTTCTCCTTGCCAGCCAGCCTGCCTGCCCTGCCCAAATGCTGAGATGGGTTAGAAAAGGCCCCAACAGAGATGAGAATCTTTTCCTATCATCTTCTTGGGCAATTAGCAATTCATACACTGTAAAAACTGCTTGGAGCTTGCTGGAAACAGATTTTGGGAGTTAGCTCTGAATTGTGCTGGAATTCAACCACCTGCCTCCTTCTCCGCCAACCCACGGGCAGGTTTTTGGATCTCCCTCCTGCCTCATTGTCCTTCCTATTATTAGGCCATGTTTAACATTACTTCTCCATTTCTCCAGACCTCTTCTGCTCTATTCTTCCGTCCTTTCTCCAGGACCCCCTGTAAGTCATTTCCACAGACAGTTTTCCTTTCTTAAAATAGGGAGGCTTCGCTCCCTTCAAAGGGGCAAGAACGGGTCAACCGTCAGACGAGGCTGCAGGATCATGGAACCACGTTTCCCCACTAACCAGTTACTGCTTATCCACAGTCTACACTATTCACAGACAAGCAAAGGGCAGGAAATGTCAATCCTCCTAATGAAAGAGAAATCTGTTTATTTATAAATGTACTGTAAAACATTTCTGTGACACCCTTGGTCTGGTCAGAATTCGAATTGGTAAGCAATCATCCTAATTATTATAATCTGACGACAGAGGGACAATGGCTGAAGGCAGAACAAATATGCAGAGGAAGAGTAAATGGGTGGAGAGGAAGAGAAAGACCAAGAACATTGTGATGGGTCAATGAGAAGCAGATATGGTTTGCAAGGAAAGGTGAGGAGGGGGTACAGTGAACAGCATTGGTGTAACTAGATTCAGCTATATTTCCTTTTGTTTTTCTCATCTCCTACCTTTAATTTCTTGGGCTTAGTATTTCTTATTCCTTTTTTTGCATTTCTGAATAACATCACTGATATCACAACCTGACTGTGTTCGCAACACAGATCAGCAGGTCAGATGAAGGCCAGCAGCTGCTTTCCCACAAATTAAACTTGATTAGTCTTAATTGTGGTTGGGTTTTTTTGTACCTAAGATGGTTTAGGATTATTGAATGCATACTACAAACTCAGAAAACCGAGTTAATCCAGGAAGTGTGTTAAGTATGTGGTGTGGGCATGAGCCTTTTACAGCTGATTATTTTTTCTTGAAAACCAAAAATGTAAATGATTCATAACGCCATTGGAAATGGCAAAGTCAGTACAGCAACTCTACAGATGAAATGTAACTATACCACTAGCAGAACACACTTTCAGATCTAAACATGCACTTCCAATGGTTAACAGTGAGAAACTCCTGTCTGTAGCAATGGTGTTTGTTATCCTTACTCATTTTTATGAAATAAATGAGGCGGGCTGGGGACGTTCGAAGAGCAGTGGGTTTTCTCTTGAATAAATCTATTACGTCAACTTGGCCCCATTGTCTAGGTGCCAAGACCTTGCGATAAGAAGAACAGATCCTCACCGTTGTAACTGCAATGTTAGCAATTTAGCAACAGAAAGCTACAGGGGTGCGTGCAGAAAGTCATTGGAAACCGAGCTTGACTTAGTGAGTTTAGTTTTTAAAACAAATTCTGCACACAAGGTATTTGCATGGGGGAGAGGGGAGTGTCAAAATCTGCAGGATGCCACCCTCATCATGTTGCAGATTTTGAATCCCCCCCTCCACAAGTCAATGGATGCCACTGTCGGCACCATCTTTTGGGTAGAACAATGCTATTGCATCATCAGTGACAAACAAAGCCTGTTCTAGGGTGAGCTGTTTTGGACTATTCAGATTTTAACCAACCAAAGATTACTGCAAGGAATGAAAGCAATCAAGGACTGTTTCGCTGCCCTGGTACAGACACAGGCAGCTTAAGAAGGGGCTTTAAGAGGACACAGAAACAGGCCTTTCAGTTCTGATAAAATATTTCCAGTCTATCTTGCTGTTCATTTGATGTCACTGCTGGCATATCAAGTATATATGTAGCTAGGCTGTAGCTGCACATTATAGAGAGGGGACATTCATTTTCATGAAGGATAACAACAACAATACTTAGACACAATAGGAATGGAGAGAATCTCAACTCAACAATTATAAAAAGTTGCATTACTTAGAACAATGTTTTTGAACTTTAGTGATGGAGAAGACCCTGAGAATATCATGGACAGCCAAGAAAACTAACCGATGGACCATCAACCAAATCAACCCAGAGTTCTCACTCGAGGCACAAATGACCAGACCCAAATTATCCTACTTTGGACACATTCTGCGAAGACCTAGATCTCTGGAGAAGTCCCTAAAACTGGGAAAGGTGGAAGGAAAGAGAAGAAAAGGACAACCAGCAGCAAGGGGGATGGACTCAGTTATAGTGGCAATGGGGGCACTGTTGGAAGACCTGAAGGACCAGGCTAGGGGGAGATTGTCATGGATAAAATCTATGTGGCCACTAAGAACTGACAACAACTTGAGGGCACGTACTATCCTAGATCCTTGGGAAGGATCCAATTGTCAAAAGTGCCAGATGC